AAGTACTGTTCTGTGGCAGCCTTCAGTCCTGTCCTTTTTGACCCATATGTCACCAGCTGGTAAAGTGGTCTGAGGGAATACTGAACAACGTCAGGGTGATCCTTGAGGGTTTTCAGCCACTTTTGGTAGCCCAGGGAGTCCTTATGGGTGAGAGAAAACTCACCCACCCAACCCCTACCTCCTACCACCTCAGTGTAGTGTTGGTGGAGACCAGAGCTGTAAGACGTGGACTCGTCCTGGTTCTGTAGGACTTTGTTGCAAGAGTTATAATTTGCATTCAGTTTGTATTTCCCCAGGCCTACTTTGACACCATCTGACAAGCACTTGTACACCTAGATGAAAGGAGAGGATATTAGATGTTATTTGTGATACAAAATGTATTTACTGCCTTCCCTTGACATGTGTGCTACCTGGTATGAGGAGAGTCCATTCAGTGAGGACAAACAGGTACGTGCAGCTGTGACTCGCCTGAATCGCCCCCCAAGATAAACCTGAAATTACATACGATAATGTTGTTGACACAAAAATATTTATTCCTGTGAAGTAAGAAAATAAAAGAGATGTTTGTGTGTGTGTGTGTGTGTGTGTGTGTGTGTGTGTGTGTTTTAACCTGGCGGATAAAATGTGTGCCATAGGTCTCCAAGAATTGTCTGTACAGGCCCTTGGTGAAGGGGTTGTAGTAACTGGGCAGTCCCTTCAAATCGTTGAGGAACTCTTTACTGAGGGGCGGTGTGTTTGACACACGGTAACTAAACACAAAAAGACAAAATAGTAAGTTAACTTTGCTTCTAAATTACATGACAAATCTGACATTCTGTGGGGATGTGGCTGCAGATCTTCACACCTTACCTATAATGTCTACAGGTGGCACGGTGTGTGCTGAAGGTGTAGCGGTCCTCTTGGCTCCTGGCTGTAGCAAAGTTGTACACAGCAGAACGTGTTCCCCCCACCTCCAGGTTGACAAACTTCTTGAAATCCAGTCCCAACTGATAAAAAAGGGAGGCATTAGCTACTTGATGTGCCAACATAAAACACAATGCAAATCAGTTAATGGTCAGTTCAGCTAAATTACAAATAGCTTATTGTCCAACTCACTAGTGATAACATTTAGCCATGAAGATAGTTTTGGTTTTATCCAATGGAGGCAAGTGAAAAACAACAACAACAAAAAAACACTTTTTGGGGGCTTTTCAGCCTTTATTTGACTGGACAGACAGAAAGGGCAGAAAGGGGAGAACATGCATCAAAGGGCCACAGGTCAAACTGGAAAACAGACTGCTGCTCAGTCTACATGTGCTGCACACCTCTGCCAGTTGAGCTTCCAGCTGCCATCCACCTTGTGACCATTGAGAGGTCTATAAAATGTTGCTTTTAGTGCTGAAAGCAATGAAAGAATTGAAACTGAAAATTGAAATTGTTGACTGATCTCTGAAAACGCAAATAAAACTAAAAAATATCTACATTTCTAGATAGCTCCATATTTTACTGTAATGAGAAAAAAGATTTCTCAGTAGCTGTGATGTGATTTGATTTGATTTCACGTTATAGACAGAAAAAAAATCTTAAATTTGTCTTGAGTCCCAGGATGTCAACTGTTTCACACAAATTCTCAGAAATACAAAAATACAAAACAACATTTAACCAAACAACAAAACCATAACAGAAATGCTGCAGATCACACCAGACATTATACAAAAGTGGACGCAGTGCAACATGTTAATCATTCCTATTACATTTAGTGTTCGACCACCCACGTACACGGAGGCTACCTAGGCTACTTTCATAGGTTGACAGACTGAGGACCAGATGAGTTCCTCAACCTGTTCAGTTGAGCCTGTGGGACTCTAAATCCTCAGTGTGATAGCAAAAGCTGGTAATTTTCAAATAACGTGTGAAATGTGTGAAATGACTCTCTGTTTATGGAACAAATAATTCCATATGAATATACTGACTCAACGCAGGCTAAGTGCATACAGTGCATTACAATAAAAGTAATATAATAAGTACATATCCTCTAACAATAGCTGTGAAGCGTTCCTACCTTCCAGTCGTAACTGTCCTGATAGGTGACTGTTTTGACCAGTGAGCTGTGGACACAAAATACTCAACATTAATTTTGTTTGGATTTCTTTTTCCTTCAGAAAATAAAAAGACATCAGTAATAATTACTAAAGGTGGCATATATTGAGAAGTATTGACTGAACTGGAACAATATGTTAAAATGTAAAAAAGGTTACAAATCTCTGAGTGGTAATGATTTCTATATCACAGGATACCTGAC